TGGTAGTGGTGGTAGTAGTGGTAGAAATAGCAGCAAGCAGTTGCTGTTGCTGTTGTTGTACTCGTGCCTCGCCGCAGTAGCTGCTGCTGTTGCCAGCGTGATGGTCAGTGGTGATCCCTCGTTGAGGCTGTTGGCATCAGGTTGGCATCAGGGCGTTGAGGGCTGAGGTTCCTGATCATTCGGAGTTCGGCCTCAAGAGTGCTGTGCACAGCAGGTCCCGAATTAAAACCCCGCAAGAGTTGCCGAAATCTCGCCAGTGGAATGCACCGCTTAGTAGTGGGGTTTCGTACTTGTACGGCTCTTCCAGCTTCATGTTATCACGGCGGTTGAGCAGCAGGCGCATGCATGGCTCTGCACAAGTCTGACCACAAGACACCTGAAAATCTAAAACTGATCAGACGGGGCGGTAACGAACCAAAACGCTATCGTCCTAACATGGTGCCAAGCCGCAAGAGCAAACCTTCGTTTCCCACGTATGACACAAGCGCACACACACACACACAATCACACACACACACACAAAAAAAAATGAAAAATAAAATAACGCAAAAGAACGAACAAACACTCACACACAAAGTTACAGACAGACGGACGGACCGACGGACGGAAGGACACCCACGCAAGCAAACGCACGCCTTCCCACTCACTACAGATGCTGATTCGATTCTCCTGCCCTGTAGCGTGATGCAAGCCGCTCCCCGATGCGAACGTCATGATGCAGGCGCTTCTTTTGCTAAACCAAGCCGCGCCCAGCAGGAGCCCGCTCGTTGCCTGCAAAAGGTCGACTTCTGACGTGTTCTTCAGTCATGTGCGGAACAAGGATGTGCTGCAGCGAAGCAGGAAGACCATGCTGGTTGAAGGCACGCCATGAAGCGGCAAAGGTCCTTCAGAGAAGACGTCCGAGCCAGACCCGGCGGTTGCGGAATCTCCACTTCGGTCATCGGCTTCGTGGTTTCGAAGCCATGTCTCCACCGGTATCCGCGTGCCTTCCACCTGAAAAACCGAACAAACGGATCGGAGGCAGACAAAACCGGAAGTATGCACGAAGCCCACCGATTGCAAACAGGGCAAAGTGGATCATTGCTCCGGCCTTGACACTATAAGAAAGTCAAACAAACTTCGGCAGGATTCTAAATCGGTAGATAATTTTACGGTTTGTGCGTGCGCGTGCACGTATTCTTTCGGAATTGTGGCGCTCTCCGGCAGGCTATTGCGAAACTGAATCTTGAAAGGATCCTTTTTATGCTAAGCTATTGACAAGGTTTCATTTGCAGGGCTGAACTCCACTTTGCAGGGTGCCGTTCCGGGACAGGCTATTGGGGAAGTACTTTGCAGATATTTGTCACGATATATTGGGAATCTCAATGTGCAGCATGCAGTCCAATAACACTTGGCCATCATGATCTCGTTAGTAGCTTCTGAACGTTATTGCATGTTCTCAGAAATGTCTTTGCATTTGCTCACCTATGCTCAGCTCGTTTTTAATTTGGACATTTCTGCTCCACGTGAGGTTTGCAGAGGCTCTTTCCTTTTCGTTTCCGATTAAGACACTCTTGCCTCACATGATTTCGACTCACGAGACAAGAACCCCAAGATCAAACCACTCGTGCAGCTTAGCAACGGGGCTGGATGGCCACTCTCCGTCTGACCTCGGGAGGTGCTAGTGGCTAGTGAGAACGAACCCGAAGAACACGAACATCACGAAAGAATATCATAACCGCAACGTGTACGACACAAGACCAAGACTGCTGGTGACGGGGCCATTGCTCAGCAGCTTAGCTGAGCGTGGCCTAGTAACTTCCAAGCTCAGTCAAGGCGCTGTGCATGAGGGCTGGAGGCGAGGCTTTGCATCTCCTCCTGCACATTTCAGCTCATGGCGACACAACCTCGTGTCGAATAACTGGCAGGGCTTCATGTATTTGTGTAGGACGTCATTGGGCTGTGCTTGGATGTGGATAAGGCCTCTGCTGCATCAGAAGTCTCAGACGAGCTCCTCGTCATGTGCAGGGCTGGACCGCCCCAGCTTCCTGCACCGGCTTCAGCCATCCGGAGCAATAAATTGAAATTCAACCGTTCTACATCACTTAAACTTGTTCTCTTGCCGCCTTGCACGAAGACTCCGCCGACCCGAGGCAGGCGACGCCATGGCAGGAGAGCGGTGCAGAGCACTGTGGGCTCGCAAAAGGTTCCGCATCACCTCAGTGACTCCAACGGAAATGTAAGGACGGATGCCGCAGGTGGCCCGGTGGCCCGACGTCTGCACAAGCATGCGTGTTGAATGCATCCGCAGGGATAGACGTGCCCGCATCTTGCGCGCGCCTTTGCACAAGTACAAGAGGCCACATCTGCCGGGAGCATCTACAAGTGCAGGCGAACGGACAAAATGACTCGTGCATAAGTGCAGCACTACATTCTGCGCGCTCTACTCGTGACAGCATCTTGGCTTTGTCGACGAAGATGTAATCAGTGCAGACAGTGAGTGAGCATGAGCCAAGAGTGTGCGTGAATAAAAGCCTTTTGGCTTTGAAGTCGTTGAGGTGCTTGTAGCTTCTTGCTTTCTGCAGCCCACCGGAACAGGTCTTTCAGTGCATGCACATTGCGTATCCACAAACACTCAGAGAATGCAACATTTGTGAATGCTTATGTTGAATCACGATGACACACGGCTGCATGTATGTATGAGATGTGTATGTACATATGTCTGTATGCATTGTCTGAACATGAAACATCTTCTCGATGTGAAGAAGGTAGGGAGCTTATTTTGTGCTGTTCGGTGTGAGAAGGATCTGCAACCCAGGTGCCAAGCAAAGGCCCAGCGTCATCAGCATGAAAGCTGTCAGCATGAACAGCGTGGCTGCTGTGATATCCTTATCTGCGAGCGAGACAGGAGTTGCAACCAACACCGAAACCTGGCCTCCTTAGTGCGTGTTACCCCGCCCGTGTCATCCCCATGGCTGGCCACAGGCTTCAGGAACACGCCCCGAAACCAAAGTTCCGTCTGGCAGCAGGGATCGCAATCGGCGGCCGAAACCGGTGGTCTTTGTAGGCGGCCTGTGAGCCTGCAGCCAGCAGAAAGGTTCTCCTGTCCGTCAACATCATGAGATCGCCAAAATCGCGGCTTCCTGGCCTGTTGGGTTAGAGGACCCGCCCAGCACCACTGTTTTCGTTGGGCCGGGCGGCCGCTCAACGAAACCTCGGCAAAATCTGAAAAGGGCACGAGGCACATGGCATTTAGCCGCTCCACAAGACAGTGCGCCTCTTTTGCGAAAACGTATAAGGTCCGGCCGAGTAACTCGGGCAACTGGCATCTGCAAGGCCAAGTTTGGGGCTCTCCGTGTCAAAGATGACGTTTCGGCCAATCATCCATGTCGCTCCAAGGACCTCGATTACTTAAGACAGCCAGGCTTCAATGCCCCCTGCCCCGACGCATCTGAAAGCGGTGTCATCTGACTAGTGAGCATCACTGCCCCATGAATTTGTGCGGCATCAGCCGGCCTAGTTTTGCCATAACACCCCCAAGCGCTAAGAGGCTTTTAAGCTCTCATCCACAGTCACCGTCCCAGGGTCCCAGCCAGGCTCCCGTCAAACCAGGCCCGGTCCCCGAAGTCCACGCAGCGTAACACTCTGGGGTTGCCGACTGTTTGCCGCGCAGCTCCGTTGCTTTCGAAGCCCAAGCAGTACAGTTCGCCACTGCGACGATAGAGGTATGAGCTTGGGTACCAGTTCCTCGGTCGTTCTCTACAAGCATTTATCTTCTTCCCCTCTTCTTTTGCTGAGGTTCTATGTAGTTCATTGTTTCCTATCGCCCTGTGTTTGGCATGTTCTCCAACCCTCTGTTTGCTTAGCCGGAGCTTGAACTGGACTCGAAGAAAACCGTCGACCTCAAGTACGAGACATCCATATAAACTTCTCGCACAGAGCAAGCCTGCCGACATGATGACTTGTGACTTGTGAGTACTGCGAATCTCCTCACTCTCACGCAGACCACGGAAGCCGAGAGTCGCTGACACACCGCCCTGGAAAACCACTCGGATCGGTGGAAATGACGACAAGGATCCTCCTGCAAGAGCAACATCCGATTGGAGGCCCAGCACAACCCAAGTTGAGGAGCTGCGCATAGCTGCACAGGGACTTACGAGGAAATCGCTCTGCAGTGAGTTATGCCCAGACGCGGGATCCACTGCAACACACTCATGAAGTAGATGATGCCAGAGTTAAAGTGAGTTTGGCGCTGTCAGCGTCCTGGAACCGTCCAGCACGTACCTCTGGTCCCCTGGGCAGCACACCCGCTGTGCTGCTTGCAGTATGATTTGACCTCTGGCAGCAGGTAGCTTCGTAAGTTCGTTGGGGTCTCGGGTACTGTGTGAGACAGCTTCAAAAAAGTGCGTCTTCGATGCCCACTGATTGGCCAGGCAGCCGCTTCTTTCAGTTGGCGGTACAGCCCGTCTGGGAGGTAGGTGTACGTCCTTACAGCAAGTTATCAATGAGTGATCTCCGGAAGGATACCCAACATGTTCATGAAGTTTCCACCACATTGCCATGGTGCGTGCCCGAATCCACGATGGTGTGTCCAAAGCCACCTCGCACAGGAACCAGGGAAAAGCAGATCAAGAATCTCAGAGACTCCGCAGGATTGGTTTTGGCTGCTGGAAACGCTGGCAGAAGGAAAGAGTGCAGCGTGATGATTGCTGAAATTAAAGATCGCCCGTCTACGAGGCGTGATTGGCCGGGCAAGACATGCATCTGATCCCGAGAAGGGGCGCTGATTCAGCACCAGAAAAGTCGCATAAATACCCCCAGCACTGTGATAAAATGTGATAAACTCACCCGGAACCTGTCTTTGCGAAGGCACAGTAAGAATGTTTATTATGATCATTATTCTTGTTTTTATTATAGTAATAACAATGATAACAATAATAGCAATAATAATACTAATAATACTACGAAACATCCCGGACGGTCTGTGACAACTTCGGCTCTCGAGTCCCCAGGTGCCTGAAAGCTCAGAGCCTCCGGGCCCTTCGATGAGCATCTTCACAAGGGAGACGCCTCGTGGGTTCAGAGTCGAAGGCAGCTTGAACTCTTATTTGGGGCTTGGTTCAGAAGTCTCACTTCATCGGTGGTGTCGCTAAGCACGACATTGACATGAACCTTGAAGCATTCTGGCTCAGCCGGCATGGTCTCAGACAAGGCGCTGTAGAAACCATGCAAAGTGAGAGGGATCCACTGCACCTCAGACGTTCTTTGTGATGCACACCTGAGGTACTACTTCTCTCCTTCGTCAAGAAGCAGTAGCCGTGTTCAGGGATTGGTTGAAGCCACCCACAGTCCTCGGCAGACTCGACACTTGCGTGACAGTTGACGATTAGGCCACGCCCAGCTCCATCTAGAAAGAAAGGGAGTTCTGACTTTTGATGAAGCTCAGGAATGGGATGGACGCCGATCGGAACAGGGAGGACGGGGTCCACAACATGAAACTACGACTCGTCGGTAACTCCAAGGGCCCCTCGCGACGCGCATACGCAAACATGGTCAGGACAAGCTGCAAGAGACCTCCCTGGGAGGACAAGCACATGGCGAACACCGCAGCATTCACATGTGCCTTGTCCTGCATGCAGCCAAGGCCAATTGCTGAAGATACGAAGCCTAGCTTGTGGTATTCGCTATTTCCGGCATACCAGCGCGTCAACTATCCCGCTGCTCTAGAGCCTGCATCTCGACAGGCCCAGCCTTGAAGATATTCATCAGGATCGTGGTCATCCTGTCTTTGGATGGGGCCAGGCCAAAGATTCCATTGGCCTGCGCCCGTCGGAGCTTCGAGACTGATGGGGTAAAGCCATTCTCAACGCTGCGCGGAACTAGATCTCGGCGTCTTATACTAGCATGCCCACCATCGGATGCTCACAAACAAGGCGAGCTTCAGGCTTCCAGGCCCTGCGCTACTTAGCAGCTACATCATCTCACAAAAGTGAAGGTACAGCGCACGAGAGAAGCCCTGGCCTTTTGGGTAACAAAGAGCTTCGTCTCACGGCTGTGACACCCCATCTGCACCTGGCAAGAAGCACAAGCAGCCCCTCCAACGTGTGATATCTTGGAGCGTGGATGCAGGCCTTAACGGGCGGATTCTGCTGGAACTCATCGCCGAGAGACACATAATCCGTGAAGCGGTAACCTGACAATGAGGCGGCTAGGAACATGAAGGTACACTCACAAGGCGATACTCCGCGCCTTCAATTGAGCTGCCCTCGGTGTAGCTTTGTCGGTAGGCGCAGTAGTTCATCCTGGTACTGGCCGACAGACTGACGCTTTGCTATCCCCGGGGGAAAAAAACCCGGAAGCAGAGGCTTTGTCTGAGATCCATCCTGCACGAGTCACAGGCTCGCCGACTGCACTTGACCCACTGCGCCGTCTTCGACTTCGAGAAGTCGAAGTTCGCATCCAGATGCTGGCCGCACATGCTGCAGCCAGTGCAGGTAAATGCACAGATCGTACTTCCTCGGTTCGGTCGAGGAATTAACGTCCTTACGCAAAGTAGGACGCAGACCGACTGCCTGCAACAGCTCTTCGCAGATCTGACCGGGCTTGCTATCGTCAGCAAAGGTTCCTGTGTCTGCGATGACGGAGGTTCGCTGCGGCACGGGAGTGCCAACCTGGCATTCCGAACAATGCACACTCAGTCATGGGTCTTAGCCGCATGCTACATGCCGTCTCTTGGCCGCACAGGCAGCTTTTCCAGGGTCAAAGTGTTCCCAGTGTGCCAGTATAGAACGCAACCCACCCTGCTCCGCCCCTTCAGCCACGCTGCAAGCAAGTCGACATAGTAGTACTGGTACGATGCCTTGGCATGACACAGCACCATCGTAAGGTTCAGAGGTGAGCGTAAATGAACAAACACGGCATCACTCTGTCCAGGCAAGTGACCACGTCTCCGTAGAGCCGGGCCGACTCGATTCCTGTCGCTGCATCCGGTAAACATCCGAACACACACACACACATCCTCTTCTGCTGGCTATATATTCTTATCCTTCGTTTAGTCCTGTTCCGATTCCTGTTTGAGTGCTACGACAGTGCGAACAGTTGAATACAGTGATCGGCACACTTCTGCCTCATGTAGTTGCAAGACCTACTTGGCTCAGAAGTCTAGACACTCTGCCTACGGTCAAGATACACCATGCGGACAACGCAAGCAATTGGATGCGCCTTTCTCTACTTTCTTGTGCTCTCACAAGGTAAAGCGCTGCACTATAGCAGGTCATGCGCTCTCAAGCACAGAAACAAGCGAACAGCCTCTGCCTGGGAAACTGAACATTCTCTATGCAAGCCAAGATACGCTTGTCTGCATCGTAGAGTGAGCGACTCCTAGTTGGAGGCAGGGTGACGTAAAAGGGTACAAAGAGTTGAGTTTAAGTCTCTGCACTTTCCCGTGGGACTACCGCAGTGTACGGCCTTCAGGCGACAGCTGGTGGTGCCCCTCCCAACGTATGAATACAGAAAAGTCTTGGACAAAGCACCGAACAGACACACCGAAACCCGCACAACAAACTCTCCTTAGATCCCCAAGATTGAAACTAGTCGGCCAGGCTTCAATCTTTGGTCGCCCAGAGGCATCCCATGGCCAAGCCAAACAGGCGCTCCCACGGGCAGTGATAGGATGTAATTGTCGTGTGATGGGGTCGGTGAAGGCCGGCCCACTCACTAGCTTTCAGGGGTTTGGGGTCAAGCGAAATAGACAAGGAAGGGGCCAAAGCATGTTCTTGTGGAAGGCATCTCGAAGCGTTGACATACTTCGCATCGCACGTAACGTCGCCGGCTCTCAAGGTCGCAGATGTTTCGTAGGGCTGCAACTACCGGTGTCGTTCACTAACTGGCATTTGGCTCGTGACTGGATCGGAAGCTTTTGTTCAAGGGCATCCGATTCAAATGGTGGCTAGTGCTGGTCCCTCTACCGAGCCATAGACGATCATGACATGTATGGACTTCAGGTGAAGCAAAACTACAGCACAAGCGCACTGACAGCTAAGACAAACAAGTCTGAAACCGTTCAACATTTGCAGCCGCAGAGCCGGATGCAGAAGCAGCGCTGCCTGCTACAAGTAAGCGGAAGGCCTCCGAATCCTCAGGAAGCGCCCAGAACTGAAGGTGCCATTGCTTCCTGTTCTCACTACCCTGCATGCCGTCGGATGCCCTCACCTGTCGGCGCCTGATGCGTCTCCAAACAACCAATGCCGGGGCCACGGCTGTAGTTCCAAAGACTGCCACGTACCTACCTTCAGCTGGCTGACCTGATCTCACAAGCTTTCTAACGATGTAGTTGCTTGGAGTTTTTCTGAGCCTCAGCTGCCGATCGGCTCCCATTCAGGTAGATGCTATATATGATACGAAATGATATGATATGATTTGATATCGTGCCAAGTATTAGGAAGTGGTATTACATGATGTGACATGACATGATATGACATGGTATGACATGATATGGTATGGTGTGACATCGTATGATACAATATGATACGGTATGATATGATATGATGTGATAGGAGATTAGATGATGGAAGCGAGCTACCGACTGTGAAGCCCTGAAGCCTGTGGAAACGGAAGAAAGCATACGAACGCTAGCCAGGCAGATTCTCTGATCAGCAAGACGCGGCTTCGCCAACTGCGAAACGCACCATCACAGCAGCTGAATGCCATGATCCAGCACTCTCGGATGCAGGCGGCATTCCAAAGGTCTTCTCCTAAGTTCCACCAACACCAACATGTGACATGCTGCGTCATTGTTCGCACACATCAAAAACATAAGACACGCCCACCCAAAAACACAAAGACGCGCACGCAACCAAACAAACAAGAACACCAACCACATAGACATAGACATAGACATAGACATAGACATAGACATAGACATAGACATAGACATAGACATAGACATAGACATAGACATAGACATAATCTTTCTTTCGACTCTCCCTCTCCCGCTCGCTCGCTCGCCTGCTTGCTCTGTCGAGCTTAGGGCGCAAGCTGTGCTTTGCCTTGCTACATAAGCTTTTTCTCTCTTTTCTTTCTTTCTGCTGGGCTAGCTAAGGGGGGGGGGCTTCTTCGCTCTCTCTCTCCGTCTCTCTCTCTCGCTTCATCTATAATATACCGCACGTACATTACCTGCCTCATCCTCAACTCTCAATGATGTTCTGGACGCCTTTAGCCGCAGCTCTCACGTCCCTTCCTGCGCAGCTGCACTGCAGAACACATGGCAGAAGCGTGCCGGTCTCTCCTGGCGAGCTTGGCACAACCGGGGAGACTTGAGACTGAAGCCTGCAGTTCTCAGCCCGATGCTGGGCCGGCAGCCATCGAAAATGTCCACCTGGGGCTACAACTTCCCGCCTTATCCGACTATCCTTCTTGTTTGCAACCCGTAGACTGTAGGCAAAGTGCAAGCTATGGTTGCGGGATGAGGCGAGACTGAAAAGGATGCAAAATTCTGAACCAAGTCCGTCCTTACCGCAAAATATCCTGCCTGTCGCTTCGAGGTCAGCTGGAGAGCAATGGATTCCTCGGCAGCCGTTGGTGACCCAATCATCGGTGGCCGACGCAGCAGATTCACACAAGCGCAAGGTGCCCGAACCTGGCTAATCATCCAGCTCTGTCCTAGAGAATAACATGCTTTGCTGCACAGCAAACTTGAACTGAAGTTTGCGCATGAAGAATGAAAAACTAGCTGCAATTAGCTCAACTAGTCGACATGCCCATGCTTTGGTTGCTGAGGCATCCACTACCAGCCCACCCCAAAGCTCGGAATCTTTGGGACAAGGTACCTGCATCACTGCGACCACCCGAAACGGCCTAAAGCCATGGGCTCCACATCCGAACATAGGCACTTTCGCCAAGACCTTTCCGAACCCCTCGCGCACGTAAGATCTGCAACAAACAAAATCGTCTTCCCCAGCAGCTCATGCAGCGGTGGTCACTGAACGGCGACCACACGCGAGCGCAACAGCCTCGCTGAGCCAGGAAAAAAAACGAAAAGAACTCCATCTTTCTGGCTCCCAGAAAGAAGCCGCACGACGTGCAGAGCAAGACTTCCCCAGCCTGATAAAAGCTGAGCCGCCAACTGTTTCAATTGGAACCAATGGTTCGTTACCCTGCAGCGATGCCACAACACGCCTCGACACATGCGCCGAATAGACCGATCTCTTCATCCCGGCCAGGCGTTGTGACCCCACGAAGGCTCTAAAGGCTCACCTAACCGTGACTGACCTTGGGACCGTTTTGGAAGCGAACCGCCGAAACCCGAGGCAGTGCGCCTCTGGAGCTCGGCAATCAGCTGCTCCTCCAAGGCCCGGCGAGTTACTTCAAAGTGGCACCCGCCCCCCAAATCCCCCCCCACCCCCCCCACCCCACCCGCCACAAAAACCGGAAAGCTGCATAACGCCGCATGAAGCAACTGCGAAGCCAAAGGCACTATGCTGAGACTGAAGGGCTTCGTGAATTCACACAGGAAGTTATCCTCGCATTTTCCGCTGCCGCATCGCAAGCTAAAAACATGGCAGGTCCATGGGCGCCTGCAACTTGTTCCCGGGCAGCTCGAGCACATCGAGCAGCAGCTCCAAGGGGACGGGGACCTGTTCGGACCGACTGGGCTTGATCTCCCAATTCAAGGTCCCTTCCTGGTCCTTATTTTGGTGCTTTGTTGAGGTCTGGGGCTCTTCTGGTGCAGTTATGTGCAGGGACGGGCTGCGAGGCCTTGAAGACGGAAAGGGATTGAGTCGCAGCGGCAGTAATCAGTCGTCGTCGGCGTCGCTCGTCGGAGGTGCAGCAGCAAGCAGCTGTTGGAACAGGCACTCAAGGTCTCCCGCAGCCCCGGCTCATGCACCTGCTCCAGCTCCATACCCAGGCTCTCCACGACGACATCTAAAACCTGCAAGTGACTAGATTCTTCGCAACCCACTCGCTCTGGTCTTGAAGGCAAGAACCGAGACCTCACTGTCGCCACGCGGCATGGAAAATTTCTCATTCGAGTTCCTTGGGCCTTCGGGAACCCTGAGTCGCTGATCTGCGTCTAGAAACGCTGTTCTCAGGAGCGGGCTCGTGCCGTCAAGGCCTGTCAGTTGCTGAAAGAATGCACCAGTGGCACATCGGCAACTGCAGTGTCTGTTTAGACATGCTCCGTGCCTCAGATCTTGGCGTGTCGATCGAAAGTGCTCTCTGGCGCTGTGAACAATGGGCACCATTATTGAGTTGGGGCAGGTCCCGGCAGACTGCCTTCGCTAAGCCTTCACGGTCGCGCCGCTGCCACGCCAAAGCCTGTCCACATTCCCGACACAAGCTGGGTCCAACATTTGGGTGGCCACATGCTGCTGCAGCGGAGCAGAATCAGCTAAGAGTTGGATCCTCGCGCGCCCACCCGCCCGTCAGAAGCACGACTCGTACGACCGCCAGCCTGCTGCAGCGCAGCTCGGCCTCAGACGTCACAACCGCATAGTCTTCACTGGGAATCCCCTTGTACTCCCAGTGTATGTATGTATATATATATATATATACATATACACAGAAAAACCCCGCTCCTAGAAATGAAATCGTTGGATTCCCCCTCCTTGCAACTGGCATCCACTGCTGAGCCGGCTAGGCTCGCGGCAGAAGCCCCAGCCGGTGATCCAGTTGCTCAAGGCACCCCTGGAACTGAGGATAAAGTTCACCACGCGGCACATGGCTTGCGGCAGCTGTCCAAACAATGTGGGCGGGCCTGAGCCACCGGTCCCACCACTCCAGCGCTAGACTGCGGAAGTCCGGAACGCCGAGCTGCAGAGGGCAACAAGGGAAGAAGGTTTCGACAAAATGACTATGACTATGGCAGATTGTGGCAATGCTGGGGGAATGCCAAAAGTGAGGTCTACGTCCGCAGACTGATGTGAAAACATGCCCCGTGTCACTATTAGTTGTAGACCCGAGCCTCCCTCCCTCCCTGGCCTCCTCAGGAACCTCGAGATCCTGCATATCATCCATGGAAGCCAGCCTGACACTGCAGCCGAAGCTGCCGAAACCCATCCCACTGCCAAGTCTTGATGCCGCTCGTCCCTCAAGTTGCTCTGAAGCCTGCAGGCCAGCACCAACTGAGACGCCGGAAAGCAGACAATGTACTGGTCCTGAGTTGGCGAGATCGAGTGCAAGCGCAGCACAGAGATCGCCGGCACAGAAAGGCAGGCAGCAAATGGTTTGAACGAGCCCCGCACCATGGCAACTGCAAGAAGGAAGCCTTGGGATGTTAGGAAAGCTTCCGTCAGTGGGTGCCAAACCGCTACATCTACGAAAGAGGCGGGAAGTCAGTGTCCAAAAAGGCAGAGCTCCACAGACGTGCTGCCAAGTGGCAAAGCGAGAGCGGTGGGTCTGGAGTCCGGCGATCATCCCAAATCTGACGGATTGCTTCTCGGCGCACAACAAGGAAAACACAAAGCGACAAGGAGGTGTCAGTCCGAAGTTCGAGAAGCCCGCTGAAGCTCCCAGCTGTGCCATGGATGGCCGAACACCCATAACCGAGATGGTAGCTGGTAGCGAACACGCTCAGTGAAGTGCAGGTGTGGTGGGGTATATTGTCACACTCATGGCCTCGGGAACCCCGGTCCACCAGAAGCTGAAGTGTGGTTCACATGACCCTTGGGAAGCAAATTCTGACTGCAAGCTTGAATGTGTGAAGGCCTCCAGGATCACGGACATCTGCTGCCAGCTAAGCTGCCGCAGCGCAAAGGGATCCTCATGTCACCACGTCCAGCTGTTGGGTCCAACGGGGCCTTGCAGACCTACTACGACATGCTGCAGCACCAGTCCTGCTCACTGGCCACAAGAAGGGCCTGGCGGCAAGGCTTGTCAGACGCCAGCGCAGCAAGTCCGAACAGTGAAGTTACTTGCGACCCTCTGGAACAGAAAGCTTGGCCGCTCCTGTCTGAGAGCTGAGGGCATCGCCTTAGCCAGCATAGCAGCATAGCATCTGTCAAGAACACACCACACGACTCTTTTCTGTCAACCGAAGCTCCAGGCCACCAGCCGTTTGTGGAGAACCTCGAGAACTCAAGCGACAATTATGGGCTACTGAGCGGCTACTGATGCTCCGCTCTTCTGAAACGTCAACCTGGCCCAATCTCCATTGCAACCCGCGTGGGCCGCACGCCTCCACCTGTGCAGCCAGAGCCTCTGGATGCAGGCTGCGCCAGCCTGGCCGGCCGCGCTCGCATTCATCTTCTCATTCCACTAACAGAGTTTGGGTAGTCGGATGCTCGGAAAGGCGAGCCGCTGCGTGAAGAGACTATAGATGATGAAGGCATGGAGGTATAAAAAGCAGGTCAGAGCGTACGGAGCAGAAACACCTCCGCGAGCTGCCTCCAGCAAGGCGCCTGCACAGGGAAGCAACAAGTCCATTGCGCGATTTTTGGGGCTCAATGTCTGGCATGGAATGGCCGAAAGACCGGACAACTGATTGAAACCGCACACCGCATCTGGGGGTCGAGCTTTTGCCGGCTGAGACCGAAGGGCCTGGGCGCCGGTCCGTCTCCAATGCTTAGGATAGGAGCAGGCTATACTCGGAGGTAGACGGAAACAGCATGCAGAGGTCGTGACCGCATCCGACTTGCTCCCTGAGAAACGGGCCTTGCAGAGCTCCAGAAGGTCTGCCTCCGCCTTGCTTTGCGTCACTAAGCTTCACAAGAGCTTGAATGCACGTGTTCCTACTTGCATGTCCTATGGCACTATTTTGCATCGCGACAACAACAAACGGTGAAGTGAGAGCACGACTCGGCTCGCAGCTGGGAGAGCTTGCTTTGTATTCCGATTTCGGCGCTCACACTCGGGCAGTCCAGGCGAGGCATGTGGCAACTGGTCGGTGTGAAAAGACAAGCAGTAGAGAAAGGACATGGAAAGACAAACCTACATAGACAGACCCGACTAAGAGGGCAGATGTGTCCTCTCTCACCGAAGGTGTATCCCGATTTTCGCCTGCAACGAAAGACGACTGTGCACCCGAGGTCACAGAAAATCACCCCGTGATCCAATCTTGATTTCGATCAACTGATGAGGCACAAGGGGCCATGGCTCCTGGAAAACACGAAGTTCACATGCCCTTCCGACCAATGCTCCCCGAGGCTGCCTTGCCCGGAAACTGTAAGCCAAACCCGAAAGCCCACGGCCTTGACCCTGAAGACCCTAGCACTGAGCTATGCAGAGTTTGGATACAAGGCTCCGAAACCATTCGTGCAGACTTGGCGTCAGGCGTACTCGAGGGGATTCTGCCGAGCATCCTGCTATCGGTGACCGCCCCGCATGCTTCCAGCTTGACAATCGTGAGGATTTCTCTATCTAACAGGTGCTGCTCAGTCCTCCAAAACTGGGTCGGCCAAGACAGTGACAACACCACCCAGGTGGCGGGCGAAGACGACAACTAGCCGGAGGGCCTCCAAGCGCGCATCCGTAGAAGACCGTAGTAGTTTCGTAGATGAACCCATCTGAAAGCACCAACTGACCAACTGAGGGCTACTGACCCCCTCCACTGAGCTAAGTCAGCATCTAGACTGGGCCTCCTCAGGACTCGCGTCAGCAATGCACGTCTCGTCCTTTTGCAAGCACAGGGCTCAGGGTTTGGTTTGCTGCAAAGGGCTGAGGTCTGGTGCCAAGGGCCTCTTCGATGAGATGGCGAAGCAGCAGGGCAGCAGCGCGCGCAGTGGCAGCGTCCTGCGGCCAAAAGGTTGACGGCCAAACACTCGTTGCAAAAGAAGCAAAGTAAACGCGCAGCATCGCTCGCTGGCAGGCAGAGCGCTTTTTGGCACACGACTTCTTCACCCCATGAAGTGGGACGTGGTCGCTGGGTCGTGGTGCCATTTCCAAGACAGCGACGTACCATGCCGCAGAAGCTCCTGGACTTGCTGAAAGCTGGGAATGCTGAGGTTGAGGGCCTCCTAGCGAATCTTTGTGCACGGTTCCATCCGCCGTGCCTCGGCAACTTGGGTTCCATTCAACGGTGAGGTGTGCCTGCGGCGGCGCAGCGGGACGTCAACCTGAGCATCGTGGGGCCTGTGCATTCTTGGCGCTCGACGCGCTTGTCACGTCCAGTCACAACATGCACGTGGCATCCTGGGCTGGTCGCCAACCGGAGCATAAGACCTGGACCGGGTACAAGTTGTCGTCACGCACAGAGGTTGGATTCGTCCCGCAATGCTGGCGAAGCTCCTCGAATGAGGATTGACACCCAGCAACAGCTTCTCGTGCTCTACTCTACTTCGTCCCAGCGGCCCAGAGCAGCACCGACCCCAACGCGTGGCTGTCGGCACGGTCATAGCTGAGAAGCGGGGCCACCTGCAATTCTTCCGAGCCAGTGCACACCGCACAACTCGAAACTACCTAGAATCTCTCACATAAGACACAGTTGCGACGTTGCGAGAAAAGCATCAGCTGCGGATTTCATCGACGGGTTTGGGAGAAGGGCCAAAAGCATCACAAGGTTCGAGATGCTGAAGCTCGAAGTGGATCTCGAACATGCGAGCCTCCTGCAAGGCCCGGTAACGCGCAGCGAGCTCGCGACGTGGCATTGCCTGGCGCTGTTGCGCACGTGCAGGATCCAATTTCTTGATTGGACAGCAGCAAGGATTCGAGGTCACCGATATGTTTAAGCTGTAAGGGTAAAGCGACTGGTGAAGATGGAAGGTGACCTCAAAGAATGAGTCTTGAACACTGGACTTCATGTCTAGGAAGTGTGAAGGAAGCAGCTGATGCTCATGATGCTGGCCTTGGGAGCCCACGGGCGGCTGGCCTGCCCCACCCCTTGTTTGTGAGCTCAACTTGCAGCGAAAGATTGGCAAAAAGCACGCAACAACAGACCTTCTCCTTACATTGCCACGTTTCCCCTTGGCGCCTGCAGCTGAATGATTTGAATGATTTGACGGCAATAATGCCGGGGTGTTGTTCCGTGCGGCAGCTGATGCTCATGATGCTGGCCTTTGGCCCTGGGGTGCCCGCCAATACAAGCAGCTGTTGGGACCCTGGGTGAGTAATCCCTATAGGTCTCAACCGGTACGGAGCAAAGCCTCCAGTCGGCGCAGGACGCCGGTCAAGTTCTGCATCCACTGCTCCTGATCCATGAGACTCAGGGCACACAATCGACTCAGTCGGAGTTGTGAGCTACATGTTGGTGTTTCTTCGGCAACGTAGAGAGGACGTTAGTTCATGTCAAATCTCTGTAAGAAGTACGACATTGTCTTTTCATCCAGCCCAAATAAAACGGGATAGAATCACCGACAGAAACCACTGCTTAGCATTCAGACACATTGCTCCCAGGAAAGCTCCTCCGGGATGAACACAGCGTAGGCTTCATGCTTTACGTGCCCGGAAAACCTTCGTGACTGCCATGAGCATGCCGTGGATTGTTGCGTACACTTGGCCGCTTATGCAGTCGATTCAACAGATCGGCGACAGTTGGGCCGTGGAGCGGCGCGAAAGTATAAAGCCATTGGTCGCTGACCACCACCTGAGGAGCACGGCCTGCCTCATGAATGGGTTCATCGCATCTGGTGATCTCATGCTCCACGTCTTCAAAGGCTGAACACAGCCACGGCGGGTAATGCCTGCATGGCACTTTTGCCACCTCCGGCATCAATCTATTTTACGTAGCTGAGCGGCGGGGATGCAGCTGTGAAGAACTGCGTCGTAGAACTTCCGAGTTGGGCCCCCGTTCCTGTCCAAACGGCAAATGTGAGCACGACGACCACGACGATGCTTCAAAAGGCCTTCCCGCAATCGCAAAGCAGAACCGGCTGCTTTGGAAGCCACGCTGGAGCTCTGAACCTCGGTTGCCGTCTGTGGGGCCTTTCCACTCTGGCCTTCCCAGCCTTATCCCAATCCTGTAACCGAGCGTGGCACTCTGCACGAACTGATCGCCAACCCGCACCCGCGAGGGGCGGCGAGCGAAAGATCGAACATTCAGAGCCTCCGGGTGACCCCCTTGAAAACTCCCTTTCAAAGCCCTATTTAAAGTCATGGTACTATGCTTCTGAGTGCAACTAATTTTTTAGGCCATGCCTGCGTTCGCAAGTTCCGAGAATATTCGTCCTGATAGTAACCGGAGAACCTCAGAGGTGACTCAAGGCCTGCCACCGGAACACTCTGAACCTTACATGTAGGTAGAAGTCGTGGCCAGTAAACTGTCTGAATGCAGGCCGGGCGCTGGTGATAGAACAGATACTTGCGCTTCAGCCACACCTGCCATGAAAAACTTGGCGGCCGGGCACCGTTCTGCTGGTCGCTCTGATTGCACCTCAAACTCCTCCACATGGTATTCGGAGAAGGGGAAGCTTTGTACCTCAACACACGAGGACACTCTTAGAGAGGAATGCTGCATGGCGAATCACATTCCACGTAACATTTTCGACCCTCTCATAGCGCTGCATCCATCACGATAGGATGGCTAGCTAGATAGCTAGCTAGATACCTAGATAGATAGCTAGATAGATAGCTAGATAGATAGCTAGATAGATAGCTGGATAGATAGATAAATAGATGGATAGATAGATAGATAGATAGATAGACGGATAGATGGATAGATGGATAGATGGATAGATGGATAAATGGATAGATGGATAGATGGGTAAATGGAAAGATAGATAGATAGATAGATAGATAGATAGATGGATGGATGGATGGATGGATGGATAGATAGATAGATAGATAGATAGATGGATGGATGGATGGATGGATAGATAGATAGATATGTAGATAGGTAGGTAGGCAGATAAAGAAGTAGATAAATAGATAGGTAGGTATGTAGGTAGGTAGATAGGGAGGTAGGTAGGTAGCAGACAGACATACACACATACGTACATACATACATACATACGTACATACATACATATATACATACACATAGGGAGAGAGCTATATCCATATCTAGATCAATATCTATAAATCTACATCCGACAGAGCCCTTTGGGTCCCTGGCGAAAGGTACGGGCAATGAACATCTCCAAGGCCTTTTCCTGAATGCGATCGCTGCAGGTGTTGCGGCTTACAGGCAAGATCTCGATCCGCACCCGTCCTCCGGTTGCCCTGCAGCATGTAGAGATCGCCAGAGTTCTCGAGAGGCATTGCCTTCAGTGATCGCCCAGGGAAGAGCTCCATCACCCCGACCGTCATGAAGTGCAAATGGTTCCTGGACGCCCGAGAGCAGCAGGAGAGAAGTGAAGCGAGTCGTTCAGGCCAATGCACAAAGCACAGGTTCCAGTCAGACCGAGCCAGACCACCCAACCGCTGGTGACGAACGTTCTTGGAAACTTTCGAGCACGAAAACAACGAAAAGGTGCTGGGCTTTCAATTCCGAACAGGCGCGCCATCCGCAAGGCATCGGCAAGAATTGGCGCGAACTTCTCGATGAGACGCTCGGGATAATTCGCCGACATCCTGGGTATCAACACAGTAAGCCAGGGCGTCAAGGTGCAAGTCTTTCACTGCAAAGGTTTGAAGCCAAATGAGCTAAAGACATCACGTCTGAGAACAGAAGCCTGCATTTGCGGTTGAACGCATGCCCAGACTCAGAAAGAACGGACGGTTTGAGCGAGAGATACGGACAAGCCACATCGCACATGTGAAATTACCATCATTTAGCCACATGGGTCTTCTGCGGACAGGTCACATCCAGAAATGATCGGCGCCACTCTTCTTCGTGATGTGCGTCTGCTCAAACCTCGGTTGTGGAAGTCTGTCTGAGCGGGGACGTCATGGATGAAGCCCTTGGGTCTTCCGCTAGTGAAGACCCACTTCCTCTCTGTCTGCTCGGATGCCCACTACAAAGTTGTCCAAAGCATGTCTGGGACCCTGAATCTCCAACGTCACCGGCAGTTTTGACTTGCGCCAATATAGCCCTACCGGTCACTACTTCACTTCTTGCTTGCCGGCGCAGTGTCGGGCCCGCAGTGCAGGGATTCATTTACAAGGTATCTTCAGTGAGGATAGTGAGGTGAGCACACTACTTGACCTCTCTCCTGGCTGATTTGAGCACAACGGACCCCTTTAGCCCCTTTCTCGGCACGGACTGAGCCGGCCAGCGCAACCCTCACCCCCTCTTGAGGCAAGAGCACACAGGAGAAGCTGTGGATGACAACGGAATAAGCTCCTAAACCTCAAACAGATTGAAGCATTTTGCGGCCGCTGACAGAACAGATATGGTCCCAGGCACAATAAACCCAACGTCTCGAGAAGATGCTGCTCGTACCTCGGCAGAAATCCCACGCTTTGGGAGAAGGGGGGTTGTACAAGGGAGATACAAAGGGTACTGTGAGGTCCATAAGGGTGCTATTCGCAGCACGGATGTTTTGCCTCCCACATCGCCCCCGTAAAGCAGCGCGGCAGCTGTGTTCATAACATTTGGACTCAACTAATTATGAGCTCATGGCTTATGGGGTTTACATCCTCGCTTCGCAGAAGTAAGCGCACCCCGGGGTGCTAAGCATCCGCGGCCGTCCCTGAGCTGGTCGTTTCTTTTGGCAGGCGGTTCTCTGCTTTGCATCAATCCGAAAGGCCATGCTGGTCCACACTGAACAGTAAGTAAGTGAAGGAAGAGCCACGAGCCGAGAGCAAGCCTGTCCACAACCAAAATTAGATAGCATATGGATATTGCCAGTACGGGATGCCTTCCTTACAAGCTCCAGTTAATCCCCAACAGCAAGCAGAGGCAGAAGCAGCGAAACAGTGGGGCGCATGCAGGGCGTTGGGTCTAGAGAGCATGATCCAGGTCTGAGCTGCATCTGAGGGCCACAAAACTCTGAGTCATCTGCATCGAGGTCCGAAGGATCAATGTCGATCCTGACTGCGAATGCTTCGCCAAGTCAAATCCGAGCCCGAGGTCCAGCAGCACTGCTACGTGAAAGATTGCCTACCATGCACCTTACATTCGCTAGTGTCCTCCAAAACGCTAGGGTTTCAAACCATGCCTGTCCACCTCTGCAAAGTTCTAACTCTAGCCACGTATATTCAGCAAGCATGAGCACTTCTGTTGGAGCAGGAGTCGGAATGATGAAGACCTCTGCCTCCGAGGCCTCGAAGGTCCGCCAGGGATGGGTCATCCTCGGAGAGTCAAGGGATGATGGGATGATGGGGTTGGGACGGGGCACCACTTATGTCGTCACTTAGTCCTTGGCCAGTTTACGTGTGTAACTCTGTGCTCTCCGACCCTTCGGGGCCGCCGCTAACTGGAGTCAGGACGAACATTAAACCCGATGCTTCGCGGAAACTTGTCGGCTCCCGATGCTCGAATCCTCCTGGCAAGAATCGTCCCGGAAATCCCAAATCCCAAACCCTACATCCTAAACTTTACAAGCCCTAAAGGGCATTCCAAGTCGCATCATCCGGTTGAAGTACTTTGCTGCAGCGAACTCGTGCACAGCTCCGAGGCTGGCCTCAACGCACAGGGCGGCAACTCACAAGTTCGCAACGCCAGATGACTCACTGGTCACTGCTTCGCCGACGCTTTCCCACCCAAAGGCCCCCAGACCCCAACCCTTGTCACGGTGAGTCGCTTAACTGCGCGGCTTCAATTCACTAAAAATGTCGATTTCCTAAACCAGGGACGAGGGCGAAGCAAAATTTCTAATGAAAAACAGCACAACGGCTTAAATTCTCATGGCTCAAAACGGCGCGAGGCGCGTTGTAGCGGAGGTCGACAGAAGCCACGGTCCATCGGCTCCGATTCTCCAGCACACTCGTCTTTCGCTTCGTGCCTCCAACTGACCGATATGTCTCGCGTGGTTTATGGACATGCTTGTCGCAGCATGTTGCACGACAAAAATTTAACTAACACCAATCATGGCAATCATGGCGACAAAAACATCTGGCATTTGGACAGGGTCATGGATTGCAACGTCACACAAACGGCTGCATGTGTACAGCGTCCGAGCAGCAGTGGCCCATGAGTCCTCGGCATTCGAAAGTGCGGTTACGAGTATTGAAGGCAAGCGCATGCGAAACTCTTCTGCAGCGTACTGGGTATCTTTGCCGTTGGAGGCCCTGCACTGCTATGCACTGCGAGCCAGCGACCGTGAAGCATAGTGACATCGTTGTACAGGAAGAAAGGAACCGGTGGAGGAAGCGCAGGAGTCGGGTTTCGGGCAGTCAGCATTGAAAGCCATGGCGCAGCTGCAAAGTAATGACGTTTCTGGGCACCTTGTGTCCCGTGCTTGACAGCCAGACACATTCTGTCCGCCTGCTGGTTGTGATATCTTATTGCTTTTGGCTAGCTGGGATGACCTTATTTCTAAGTCGAGAGTCTACAACTTGCCCATGTCCCTTCAGATGGCAGGGGCCGCCAGACAGGGCCACAGAGCATCAAGCATGCCACAAACAACCACTTTGCCCCTACTCTAGAAAAGGCTTTGTTTAACAGCAAGTGATAGCAACGGCCGTCAGCACCAGGCAAGACAAAAGTTAGCTTATAGCTAGGAGAGAAGTGTATCAAATGATAGCAATATATCAAGAGCAGTTATCGTCATCATCCATGGTAGAAATGCAATTCCCAAACGACTAGTATGATTCTGTTGTTATTTTCTTGTCATACCAGGACTGGAGACAGTGGCAGCTCCGCGGGTGCTGGAAGGTCCTGAAACCTTTGCCGCTCCCGGCGCTCAGCGAGCTCACGCTCCTTGCAGGTAAGGTATCACTTCTTACTTATCTTTTGTTCTGATAACTATGCTGTTAACTAGGTGCTTGTCCGTGACTTTGCCCCTGCTGCTGCTACTGTAATTCACTTTCCGCGGTCCTTATTCCGAGTGGTCCTGCTAGCTTTGGTGCTGATTGTTACTATCGCTGCTGCTACCGTCACTCACCCCCTAGTACTAAAAAGCATGTTCCGTGAAATTTTCGTGGAATATAATCAGTACTAGGGGAGCAGCAGGAGATTTAGTAATAGGGGGAAACGATGCATGTCGCTAGTCTTTCGTTGCTGTTACAGTTGAGGCTGCTATCGGTGGTTTTCTTCTCTTGGTCTTCTTGCTCTGGTGACACAAGTTCCGGCATACCCTATGCACAAGTGCACCCACGAGCTTCTTGCCGAGGTCCTTCTGCTCGCCCAGGGCATTGCGCATCCTGGGTTCTGCTCTCATGCACCTCACACTACCTCGACATGCACCGTGCTTGTGCCATGGTCAGCCTATGCTTTTAGGATCCTGAGCTTCGGGCTCCGGACTCTTGGCCGCGCTGGCCTCTTGCACCTGACACCCGAAATCTGAACGAAAGAATGAGACAGGATCGCTTCTGATGCTTTGAACTTTGCTCTCTCTCTCTCTCTCTCTCTCTCTCTCTTCATCGGTTCGAAGAGTGAAAGACTCAAGATGTCGTGACCAAGTCTGCACTGCTCGGCCTGCTCTGGAGCATCGAGTAGATCCTCAGACTCACTGAATGCGTCCGAGGGCACTGAGCTAAGCTCTCTACAATTGCGCTGGCAGCTTCGAGACCGCATCACTACAGCTGCGGCTAGATGCAAGTCCCCTCCTGCCCTGGCCTCCGTTGAAAGTGGCTTCCTGGACGGAATGGCGTAGAGAGGTCCTGCATGGGCCGTGCCAGCACAGCTGGCAATATGTCATCTCTTGCTCAAGGGCCCTGCCTTCCAGTCGAACCGCAGTACTGGGGCCCCACCTTGAAGGACCGGGAGGATAAGACTAAAGCAGAACATTTCTCAAGATGTCAAAAACTAAGAGAACGATGGGTAGTGGTGATAATGCTTATCATCATCTGCATCATCATCACCATCATTGTCATATCGTTCCGAATGCGCTGAGCCAAAGCAGGCCACGTAGCGGCTTTTCGAGCAACAATAACTGTAGATGAAAAGCAACAGCAATAACGCAAGCACTGCCCAAAGCAACAAACATGAAAATGATAACAGCAATACAAGTAACCACAATAATAATCGAAGTGATAACACGATTAATCATAGCTTTTAACTACAGCATACTACGGCCATACACAAAGAATAATGGTAGCAGGAGATGTAAGAATAGAACATCTAAAAAGAATGAGAAGGCAAAGACAACCCAGTTGGCTGGCCGCAGCACAAGCCTGCCAGAAGCTTTAACCTATCCGAGTCCGGATGAGCCAAACGAACTAGGATCACAGCAGAGCAACGTGACAATGCCTACCTTCTGTCAAGCACTTCAGTCAGGTTCGCTGAGCTCTTCCGAGGCAGAAACCATTCACCAGGCTGCAAAGGGAGAGATCATGTGTGCATCTAAAGACTACAGACAAGGAAAGGAGCAGCTGGCAAATGACATCATGCCGCGCAGACACAGGCACCCGTTCTCGATCACATGCCGCGAAACCACCAAATTGCCTCCAAAACCTGACAACAGTGCCTGGCGCCGTCTCCGCCGCATCCCGCGTCTCGTCTTCGCCCGGCGAGGGAGCTGAGATGAAGGACGATGAAGGTCTACAACTTCGTTTCGTCTTTGGGCCCAGAGCTTTCAGTAATCAGTATTGCTTCTGTCGGCAATAGTTCAGGAACCAAGGAATCAAGGTTTCCCACTTACCGGCAACCTGTTCCGTTGAGAAGACAACACAATGCGCCCCATGATGGCCACTTAGACCATGAGGCTGGCAGCTCGAAGGTGTGCAGGTCTCCACAAACACGACTGAGGTGCTGGCTGGCACGTGGCGAAAAAAGTCCTCCTCCTCTTAACAAGACATGCTTCACCGTAGGTCTCGGGATTGGTGCTCGCATGCGCCGGGTCAAGGTTGCCGCGGCTGTGTTTGGTGGACTAGGATGGCTAGGACCAGGATGGATGTCTTGCACGGGCGATGCCGTTGGCCCTTCGCGTGTTTGCACGGCAGGTGTCGTGTTCTCTTATACCTGCCTATATATGTGTTTGGATAAATGCACGCCTATATGCGTGCATGTAGGCATGTATGTATTTATGTATTCGTGTCTCCATGTAATATTGTGGGTGACTCTGCGTCTGTGTCTCTGTGCGTATGAATGCATGCATGCATGCGTGCATGCATGCATGCATGCATGCATGCATGCATGCATGCATGCATGCACACATGGATGTATGCAGTAAGTGTGTGTGCGTGTGTGTGTACATATTGAACACACGAATGTAAGGCGTATCTGTATATTCATGCCATTTTTGTGCTCGGACACGCTGTCTAATGTCTAGTTTCCCCTACAAGTGGGTCCTCCTCTTCCCTGAAAGCGAAATCGAGACAGGAGCCGACCTTGCCGGCGGCTTCGTGTAGACTCATGCATCACTGATACAGCGGGGAGGCGGAGAAATTCGAATTACATAGGACCAGTTCGGAAAAAGAGCATGGGCGAAGACTCGCAAAATATCAGGCACGCGTCAACAAAACAAGCAACAGCACAGACGACAGCCAACCTGTGTCTTCGGCCGCACAATAGAAACAGAGCTGATCAATTTCCAGCAAAAGAGAGCAGGACACTGCCTGGCAACATCATGCAACGTCCAAGTGCACACCGTCCGCCTGAGAACCGGGCCACGTCTGTCGTTGCTATCCCGGCCATGGACAGAACCGGCAGGAAGGTGTCGTCGATGTGCTGCATAGTCACTTTCCGCAGACGCTCTCGCACCGTGTAGACATGTTGGGGCTGGCTTATGCCCTGGTGCAAGGGCGCATGTCTCCCGCCTCCAGCAAGGATTCCAGGAGCGCCAGGCGAACAGCAGCAGAGCAGTCTGCACAGAGAATATCGATCCACTCAGCTGGGCGACTCTACCGCTACGGGCTTGTCGTTCTCATCCCGCAAGGGCCGAGGCAAGGCTACTGAGCCACTTATCCCCCGCGCTACGATCGGGCAGCGCTAGAGCTGCTGCAAAAGCTGCGAGCACAAACCTGGCAAACAAAAAACCTTACCGATATCTTACCGGCTCCCGTCTGGCTTCAAAGCACGGCCCAAGACCTGACCATGGTGTTGTGATCTTCTGAAGCCCGGGCCCCGGGCGTTCTCTGACCGTTGGCCACAAAGCAGCGGAAGCCACTGCTTCAGCGTCCAGGGGCCGGAAAAGATCTGGCAAGGCCTGGTTTGTTGTGTCATTTTGGCAGGTGCTCTTATGTGACCAGGCTTTATAAGGCTACCTTAGGAAAAGTATTGCAATTTGGGGCGCTATGCCAAGCCAATCAGGCAATGCTTCACACTACGGGACCACAACGTATCATGCCACTCGGCGCTATGTGCCACAGTCTTGTCGAATGCCGCACCATGCTTTGAGGAGTCCTGCTTTTGTGGTCATTTGCAGGAACCGTCAGCTGCCTCTGAAGTGTGAAATATGGCACGCTACATTCGGCAGTGCTGTGGAATGATATTTTACTCCAGCTTGCAGTGCTGCTCTGCAGAACAGTCCCTTCAAGCAGCCCTCCGATGACCTCACGGCGCTCTTCCAGAAGCTGCGCGTGCAACTGCGCAATGGCTCCAATCGCCTGGCTCCAGCTGCTAGGGTTCGTCGCTCCCTGCCACAAGCTATAATAAATTCTCGAAATCTGCTCAACAATTTTCCGAACATCTTGGCTACGCCCTAAGCTCGAACGTGTCACGAGAGGCATTTTCAGGCCCGGAGTAACTTAGCCCTGCCACAGCCATTCCATGAGCCTATACCACCTCCGACATCCTCACCGTACAAAAAAAAAAAAACATCAAGCCTCTCCAAGAAAACCGTAGCAGCTCTCTGAAACTGCAAAGTCTAACCTTCCGTCGCCTGCCGTCACTGCAAAACTCCACAGCACCCGACCACCGCCTCGGCCACCTGGACCGGAGCTGGGCTCCCAAGACGCTTGCGCTGCGCTTTGCCTCAGCCCGGCACTGGTCCAAAACGTCTACAGTCTACAGGTCTCTGAGAGACGGTGAGAGTTCTTCTTTTCGCGACTTCACAAACGGGTGGTTCTCTTGTAAAGATGCGCGGGCTGGGGAGTCGACACGAAATCGACACACAGAAAGCTGAAGAAACCAGAAGTGAGCATAAAATGCATGCACAAATTATACCGCGGCACTCGCCAATGTGCGCAAGACTTTCAGACGAGCGGCAGCATCTTATGGCCACACCCTGGCCAACTTCTGAGACTTGAAATCGGACTTACCTGGCAGCTGAAAGACCTTGACCAGAAGGAGTGCTGCAAGGTGAAGGCCGCAAGCCAGCCGGCAAGCACGCACCAATGGTTCTCCTCAAACGGAAAAGCCTCCGACATCATCGGGTGTTAGAGCTACACCAGGAAGGAGGCAGAAGCTACGGCACGGTAGACTCTGGGACTCTAGGTTCAGGCCAACGCTCCAAAAGTTGGTGAATCCACCCAAAACACGAAAGCAAGGAATGTTTTGCAAAACCTGAACCGTCTACAGAGTGATAGGACGAAGGGACGGAGGGAGAGGGACAGAGAGCTTGGATTTATGTGCATATATAAACAAATGCATGGACTCGTGCAAACATACAGGCAGGCAAGCATACATGCACACACGCATATGGCATATATGCATACGCACGGATAGGTGAACATCGTGCATGATCTGATGTCTCGGGCAATGCTATATTGCTCTGTTTCTGTGTAGATGCTGACTGGCTACAATGGACACATACAGTTCACAGGAAGCTGAGGAGCAGACTTGCCGTGGTAGACAAGGCGCGCAGGAGTAGCCTTTTGCCATCACCGGATGTACCGGCCAGTCAAGATCAGCGGGGCTCGGGTCATCCCTCAATGACTTAAGGCAGGGCACTTTACAGGACTTTAGTCTGATAGTGCGCGGTGGGGCCGAGGCGAAGATCTTTGTGGCAGGGGATTCGGACGATTACGATCACCTGCCTACTCGATTTAAGTTTCTGCTGCCCCTAAGTTTCGTCGAAACCTCTTCGCATCGTAATGCGCTGTAGCGGGACAAATCCGCAACCCACAGGGAACCAGCACAGCGAGGGGTCTCGCACCTTGAATGTGCAATGACATCGTGCTTCAAACAAGCTCGCCAAGAAAATCCTTGAGCAACCTCGAACGGGAAAGCCTGGGTGCCCTCCACATCAAGAAGATAGTTTACAGACCTCAGGTACGATAGAACCGGATGCACGAGCCTCAATACCTTGGTCGCCGAGATCCGTGTCTCCTGGCCAGGGAAACAACACCGGCGCCACCGCTCTGCCTGTCGCACCTGTTGCCTTGTCTGTTTGTCTTATGTATGCCGTACATCCTCTGTGCGAACGGGCATTTTTGCCCAAGTGGGCTTGTTAAGGTGTCCGCCTCTTCTAATTCTTTCGGAGCCCAGGGACTCCTCTTCGCTGCGGCCTTCGGATTGCAGGAGCTTCGTCGTCAGCTCCTGGCACAACTCGGCCGCGCTTCTTGTGCTCGCCCATGTGTGACACAAAGCAACTAAACACCCAAAAACCCACGTGGCTTTCCACCTAATATTGCTTTAATGACATCCAAAATCACCAGTTTTCCGATGGCTGCAACTTGCACAATCACTCAAATCCTCCTATCCAAGCGGTTTGCTTTATTACGTGAATGTGGTGGAGCCACAGGACCGACCGGAAGCACGAGTAATCTAACAAGGCTCACCACCGAGACAATAGCAAATACAAGTGAACTTAACGCCCGAATCGCTTAATTGGAATTGTTAGCGCTGTGGGACAGCCCCAACTGTCAATAAGATAAAAGCGTGCCTCATTTCATCCGGTACCTATTCTAAACTGAAGTTGGGCTTGTATTGTACCTACATCAAAGATTATTACACCATCATGTAGTACGATAAAGCTATTATCATGCCTCAATTCCGACCCTACACCGTGGCATTGATGCCGTTTATCTGACAGGCTCTGTTTCTGCATTTCTGCCCTCCTAGTACCTACAGCCCTGTGCTTCCTGATCCTTTGTCGGCCGTGAACTTCTGTCAGAAACTTTCCAACGGTGTGACTGTAAACTCTAGACATTGACTTTTTGATAAGGTGCGAGGAAGGTATGCCCCTTTGATCCTTTTGAAGCTGTCCGAAGCTCAAGCCTAAACCACAACGCTCGAGGATTTAAACGGCACCCTTGACCTCAAGTTACATCAAAGCACCTGCAGACTGGGTATTCGCCGCGCAGGCCTGGAGCCTCCAGTGCACGCCCAATGCGAAAGCTTGCAAGCGGATGTGCACGCCATGAGCAGGACGATAAGCTCAAGACATCTTCACATCTGAGTATCTGTGAGCAGTCTCAGACCTCTTCCCAATTGGATCAGCTGTTGCGTGGACATACCCCAACCGATCATACACTAATTACCGAGTTTCCGTTCGACTCACAAACTCTGACGCAGCGAGGTCCAAATCGACTTGGGGCCGCAGCTCGAAGACGGTGAGGATCCCGAAAGGTGCAAGTGATCCTCCGAGCAAGCCCGTAAAACCACTCGACATGCCCGTGCGCATGTAGACATGCACAAGTACATTCAGGCAGGCAGGCAGGCAGGCAGGCAGGCAGGCAGGCAGGCGGACGTGCACATAGCAGAAATAAACATAATACTTGTGTAGCTATATATATACATGTATGGATATTATAAACCCGCTTTTGTATATATATATATATATATATGTGCACACACAGTCGACCTGATAAGTAACGAGCCACTCCGGCCGCAAAGCTGGCGCACGCTTCGCACTCAGTCGGCAATTATGCATCACCCGACTCTCCATTGCCCGCCCCCCTAAGCGAGCAAGAGACGCTCGCGCGGGTTGGAGTTATATATCGTATGTAAATGTATATGCGGGTATGTGTATAGTTCGAGATGGCATGATGTGATCTGATCTGATCTGCTGTTTTCCTACATGATACGTTATGATCTGATACGTTACGAGATGGTATGGAAAGAAATGGAATGGTATGAAATGGCCCGGTATGGCATGGCGGGCAAAGGCACGGTATGGTGTGGCATGAGCAGGCGTGATGCGAAATGATATGGAGTGAAATCGCTTGGTGTGTGATGGTAGATTCTGATGTGACAGGATCTGTGCGCATACATATATATATATATACATTTACCAAGCATGTACACATATGTTATATATAATATATACATGCAGACCCGATTGCTTAGAGGTATACTTAGGCACAACTTCTTAAAGTAAACATGCATACATGTGACAGACACTTGCAAAATTGCGTGCATACATGAAGGCTTGCAGGATACATGCGAACATATGCGGATACATACATACATACATACATGCATGCATGCATGCATACATTACATTACATTGCATTACATTGCATCACATTACATTACATACACATACACATACACATACACATACACATACACATACACGTACACATAGACATACACATACACATA